TTTTTTAGAGATACTGGACGTCTCGTCAAATTATGTAATCAAAAAAATTAAAATTGTGTGATTGGTAGCACTGGCACAGATATCCCGAAAAAATARAAAAATCAGTAAAATAACCTTTTGTATCATTTAATTCTTCTTCAATAAAAGTTTTAAAATTATTGATCTTCCCTTTATTTAATATCCTCGTCAGTGGTGTCACAATTGGCCCAAAATCTAAGTTTTTCGAGTTTTTAAGCTTGTGCAACTTGAAACTTTATCAAAAAGAGCGCAAAAACTTGAAAATAATTGTAATAAAAATTTGAGTTTTTTGAAAAACAAAACGATTATGTTAATTTTTTAGGGATACTGGACGTCTCCTGGAATAATGTAATCAAAAAATTTAAAAAATAACCTTTTGTATCATTTATTTCTTCTTCAATAAAATTTTTAAAATTATTAATCTTCTCTTTATTTAATATCCTCGCCAGTGGTGTCACAAGTGGCCCAAAATTCCCCTAATTAAGCAAACACAAATTCCCAACTCTCAATATCCCGAATAACTCGATTTGCGACACAATCTGCAATGATTTACTTTGAAGAAACTTTCTATAAACTGCAAATTTGCTTAAGTTTGTTACGAGTTTTGATACAGATAAATCTCACACGTGTTTAATTCTAATAAGCAATAAAAATCGGAGTGAAAAACACTCATTTTTCCTTTTATTAGTTTCTGTGGAGTCGTCTCAAAGCCACGACAGACTATTCAAGGATTCATGAACGTGATTGGAAGTAAATTCGACTGAGAAAATAAATTGTAAAGTTGGTAAAAATTGGATTTTTTTTTTCATATTGATTTGAGGGAAAATTGAGACGGGAAACCCTACACAAGATGCGAGATAATTGATGGGAAAATGACAGTTGGTTGGGGGAAAATGCAATTGACAATAAAAAAAATTATGTAACTCAAAATCAGCTTTTTTAATTCAAAGAACCTGAAAAACTCCCTTCTAATTAAATAAATCATCCCTGAAAAGTTGTAGAGTGAACCGCGCAGTTTAGCTCCACAAGGAATGATTATCCTGAAAGCGCGTTTCAGAACTTTCAGTGGGCATCCCGACGCCGCATAAAACACGTCGTTTGGAGTAGTCGTCGTGTACGTCAAAGTTTTTTAACATAAAAACACAGTAAAAATTTTCAAAGTGCTCAATTCCAAGTAAGTTTTTAATTAATAATTTTGCTCAACTGAAATAACAATTTTTTTTTAAAAACACAAAAATGTTTCATCACTTGTCTTTTCTGTTTATTTAATTCTTTCACTACAGTTTCAAAATGTGTTATTTGCGCTGTAATTGCGTAATGTTTGCCATTGAATAACAAATCTTATTTAATAATTTAAAGGCAACCAAAAATACATTAATTGATTAACACCTGTTTCTATTTTTGAATTTTTACTCATTGTTGCTAATCACATTTCAATTGTACATCCATTCATAAATTTCCCCATTGATTGATTGCTTTGTTTCCGTGGGCATCGCAAATATGATCCCAGTATTTAAATCAGTGGCGTCTCGTCCTTCAATTTTTATCACTTATTTGAATCCAAAGCAAATAAAATGTCAATTAACGTGTGAAAAGCAGTAATAAAAATTACCATTTGTTGTGAACAGTTTTTGTTTCAAGGCTAGTTGAATGTTTTGATTTTTAGGGAGAAAAAAGTGTGTTTGGATCAGTGCTAAACACAATTAACAATGTGTAAACATTTGCAATTTTGTTACAGAAATGGACAAACAAATGTGAAAATGGAAGTGTATTTTTTGATCGGTATTTTTCTACTTCTGCAACATTGGGTGACAGGTAGGGAATAATTTATTGATAATTTATTTACAATTCTCATAGGGCCATAAAAGGATTGAGATAAAAGATAAAAAAATATGTACAGTTACACTCAAATTAAAGTGGACAATATAATTAATAGCTGTTCAATTTTATTGGTAACAGCTGTGCACTTTTTAATACTGTTCAACGCCTCCCACGATCGTAAATTGCGAACAGTTTCGGATATTTTGCCCTTTTCCTATATTTCAAACGCACACGTGACAGTTTTACCAGAGCCGGATTGAAAATATTCATTTATTTAAAACGAAATTCGGAAAATATGACAAATTTGCAATTTGTGAAAGGTCTGCCGTAAAAAAATGTACTGGAAAACATGATTTATAAAGTAAGAAGGTCGCAACCAAACACTAGTAATTTAAGAAAATAGC